TGGTCTTCTTGAGTATTTCTTGGTTTTCTTGAGAATTTATTGGTCTTCCTGGAAATATTGTGGTCTTCCTATAAATTTTTCGGTCTTCCCGAGAAATTTTGGTCTTCTGAAGAATATTTTGGTCTTCTTTAGTTTTTGCGGTCTTCCCAATATCATTCTGGTCTTCCCTATTTTTTTCCTGGTCTTCCTGGTTTTCCGGGCGGCCAGTGTACGCGCTCGAACCTAGTTGCGGACCCCTCGACTTTATCTGCAGATAACAATAAAAATATTAGTCATGAATTTAAAATAAAAAAGGTTAAAATTAATCTCCTGCCTTTAAATTTGTTCTCATTAGCAACCAAACTACTTTCAAAATGAACAAAATTAAATTACTTGAGTTAAACTTACAAGAGCCAGTTTTGATTGATCATTTTGCTTTATAGCAAATTCTAGCTTGGCAAGCGTATCGGGATCATTCACTGGCAAAGGAATATCAGGCACTATATCAGACGGATCCAGATTGGTGTTTTTGATTGATGCTAACGACTTCTGCACCCCTTCAATCTTCATGTTGATGAGGTGAAGTCGAGAAAAGATCATCTTCAAAACACCTGCAAAAGTTAAGGAACAACATATAGAATACAAAAAATTAAGACGTTGAAGTGTAGAAGGAATATATATAAAGATCTACCTTTCTTTTTGGTTGGTGTTTCATCAACAGTGTCATCTGCTGACCGTTTGCCAGCAGGACTGCGCTTGCCACCATCTGCACTTCTGTTTGAACCCGAACTGATTCATGAATTACGAGGTGTCTGAGAATTCAGCACCCCTCCATTAACTAAAGAATTGCGAGGTGTCTGAGAACTCAGCACCCTTCCATTATTTAGTGAATTAAGAGACGTCTCAAAATCTCCCCCCAATCCATTCTCTCCACCTCCATTCCCTAGTGGGTCTTCCTCTAATTGCAGTTCCTCAACATCTTCACTCCGATCATGATCAAGTTCATGATCACTATCGGATTCTGAAACTGACCCAGAACGATCTTCATTGACTTCAATGCGCACAGCATTAGAGATAGACTTTCTCAGCCTGTTTGATAAACTTTCTTGTTGAGCTTGAGGGCCATCAGTTGTTGACCAGTCCGTATCAACACCTGTTGCCTCTCCAGTTTCAATATATTTACCAAGTTTGGCTTCACAAACTTCTTGCTTTCCTGTAACAAATAAACAAAAATACGATTCTGGCAAATCGTGGTAGACAAGAAGGTAGATTTCACTAAATCGTGGGAGACAACGGAGTAATCCTTTACTAAAGGCAATGCTTGTTTCCTCCGACATCCGTGCGTGTTGGTTGCCTATCTTATCGTTCAATGAAACATGGAAAGCATTTTACTACCACGAGTTTCTATGGAAATGACGAGCTGAGCAGCAGGCCGAGTCGAGCCAGGGAAATTTCAGCCAATCACAAGTTTCCGCGGGAAAATTTGTTTGTAAGAAGAGTGGTAAAGTTCAATCCAGTTTTTTTGAAAAATATAAGAACCGCTCTGTGGAATTGCATGGTTTGTGTTTATGGGAAGTTGCCCAGAAATATGTTTTGCCATCTGGTAAAAAACGCACTAAGGATGCCATTGTTATGGTTTACCCGAAGCTTAGAAAAGGTAATGATGATAAAAGTATGGAAGCGTGGTACAGACAACAGGTTTTGATGTATGTACCTTGGCATCATGATGAAAAAACATTAGTGGATGCAGGTTCATGGAAAGAGCTTTATGAGAAGTATGAAGGCAATATTTTGAAGTTTGGTCAAGTTCTAGATATTGGTGTCATTCAGTGTGATCCTGAATATGAAGAAAGTGATAATGTGTGTGATACTATTCGCACGGTTGAGGAGTTTATGATTGCTTCATCTATGACCCCAGCATTTGTTGGAGAATCAGTTGATCTTGGTGACAGAGAGATTGATCTTATGCATGATTGGAATGCCAATTGTTTGGTACAAGATAGAAGTGCTGCATATGTTAGATCCTTAGAAAAATTTGTTTCTGACTCCAAAGCAGCTGCTCAATGTGTAGCTAGTGAGGTTTTAATGCCTAATGTTTCATTTACTGAAGAACAATCTCAAATTTTAAAGACTGGAGAAGCAAATAAATTTTGTGAAGGATGGATGTTCTGTCAGTACGGCAATTGATTTTCCTAAACGTGTAATAGTTCAAGGCAAAGCTGGTAAGCTTGGGCTAGTATTTTAATTTCTTATTGTGATACCATTTGAAAATATTTTTACGATTATTTGCATTACAGGTACTGGTAAGAGCTTAGTCATTCATGCGATACAAGCTATGCTTAAAAATTCACTTGGTGAAGGCAGTGTTATGCTTGTTGCTCCTACTGGTGTGGCAGCTGTCAATATTGGTGGTGCAACAATCCACTCAACTTTTCATATTAATTTAAAAGAGTTTAATGAGCTGCGTGGCAGTTCTGCAAGGAAATTTAGTAATGAAATGGAGAAGGTCAAATTCCTAATTGTTGATGAATACAGTATGATTGGTTTATCTGTGCTTGGTATGATGGAGAGAAGGTGTAGGGAAGGCAAAGGTACAGAAGATTTTTTTGGCGGCCTTTTTGTTTTCTTATTTGGTGATATCAATCAATTGAATCCAGTTCTTGATACTGCTTTGTATGACAAGCCTAAACCATATGTGGAACTTGCTCTTCATGGCAAAGCTGCATTTGAAAGTTTTGATGGTTCTATTGTTTTAACGTCAGTTATGCGTCAAAGAGATAGCAAATTAAAGTCAGTATTGGACAATGTAGGATGTGGCCAGGTAACATCTGAAGATTATGAATATCTTAAAAGTAGGTTTGTGAGTAATGTTAGTATTGAAGAAAAAGATATGTTTAAAGATAGTATTAGATTATTTCCTAAGAAAGATTCTGTTGCTGAAACAAATCTTAAAATATTGTCAAGTGTTAGAAATAGTGTGACTAATGATCCCATACCCATAGCACGTATTAGAGGTAGACATAATTGTAGTCAAGCAGCAATAGTACGAAGTGAAGATGCTGATGGCTTGGAGCCTGTGTTGTATCTTGGTAAAGGAGCAAAAGTTATGTTAAGGAAGAATTTGTGGACGGAGATGGGTTTAGTAAACGGATCAATTGGACAAGTGGTTGATTTTGTGTTTGAAGATGGGAAAAGTTACCCACATGATAGTTGTTCTGTCATTCTCTGTAAATTTCCACAGTACAAAGGTCCTACAATGGAGATTAGTGGAGTGAGTGGCATAGTTCCTATCAGCATGTATACTAAAAGTTGGGTATCTAAGAATGGGAAATGTTTATCTAGAGCTCAGTTTCCTTTAGTGTTGGCATATGCGTGCTCTATCCATAAATCTCAAGGTCTAACTTTGCAAAGGGTTAGTAAATTATTTTATTTTGTTTGTGATAAAATTTTAATTATGATTATTAAACTATTGTTAATTTTTCAATTTTCAGGTAATTGTTGATATTGGTGCATTAAAGGAGCAGTGTGTTGGCTTGTCATATGTAGCACTTTCAAGATGTACATCTTTAGAGGGAATGCTTTTGGTCCCATTCAGTCTAAGTCGGTTTTTGAAAATTAACACCTCATCTGCATTGAAGGCAAGACAATTGGCAGAAAAGGAAATTTTTAGCAAAAAGATCATGTAATAAGCTATTTGATACATTGTTTCAAATCCTCAGAGGAATTTTTATAGTTACCAAGTTTTATCTGAGAGAAAAATTTTGATGTAATTGTTGCGTTTGTAAGTGTATGTATTTTGAAATAAATAAATTGTTAATTGAAGGTAACTGAATGGCATGTATTTTCCTTTTATACAATTCTAAAAAATCATATGACAAAAGAGTCTACAAATTTTTATTGA